TTCAATAATTTAGGAGCAAGTTATTTTGTTTACCTAAACTGTTGAACGTGAAAATGTATTACACATGCAATGTAATACAAAACTTTGGACAATTTGAAAAAAAGTTTTGATGATGAAAATAAACATATTACTCTGTGACATTTTCAAACATCAAATTTTTATATAAAGTTAACAAACTTTATCACCCTAAAAACATCAATAATATTTAAAACACAACAACTAATTTCAGCTGTAGAAGCACTTACATGATGTATAAGTTAGTCGAATATTTCGTTCATTGGAAATAAATTGTATTTCAAAACATATGCAAAAATCAATACAATATTAGGCAAACAATTATGATGATCATAAAAAAACCAGAAAGATGTCAAAGCTTGTTAAACAGAGTACTTATGTTAAACATTATTAGAGATCCATAGTTAGAGAAATTTCCTCAAAACAAGGGTGATCTAAGACATTATGTGTGTGTGTGTGTTGGAGGGAGAGTGTCAAACTTAACAGCATTACTAATAAATTTATATTATTTTCATTGTTTTCCTTTTTACTTATAACTATACGTTACAAGTAACTTTACTAATAAAATCAATTAGTAAATGTATAAAATCATTATGGGTAGCTCAGTTGGATTATAATCCAACAATTTCAAAGCTTGTATCTTTATTTCTGATAATGCGAGTTACATGAAAATAAAAATGGTTAAAGGCAAATATTAAGTAGTTATAATAATATTTAAAAAGAAAATTATAAAGTCTACACCTAAATTCATATTTAAGCATTCATAAATAAGATGATCAGTTTCATTCTTTAAGTCGTCACTAATACAGCCCTATCACTTGCATGTTTTATTTTGGACTTTAAAAATACAAAAGCATTTTTCTCATGAGTTTTATAATTTCCAAACAATGAAAAATCAATTTTGTAACAAATATATGCTATAAGAGCTGCAAGTGTCCTAAGCAATACTAACTTTTGTTGAAACAAATCTCTAAAGTCTAAAAATGCATTATTAGTGTCTGGAAAAAGCCAAGGTGTGAAAATTTACCATGGCAATGTTTAGTCAACATTAATATTGTTGTATTCATTTAGAAATAACCAGTTACTGGCTGAGCCCATAACAGGATTGCTGTAGACTCGAGCTGTGTTGACATCAGAAAATTAAAAAAAGCTTTTATGGTAATCAACAGACTAATCAAATAAAATCACCAAAATCTGATATTTCTCTTTGATACTATTAGCTGTTTTTAATTACTTTCTAAAAAAATATTAAAAAAAGAGGAGGAAGTTTGGCCCTCCTAGATCTGTACCTGTTTCTCCAACATTAACCCAATCCCCACGGATTTTAGTGTCTTGCATTCAAAACTTTATTAAACTACTTTTTGTTTACATTATACCAATTAGTATAGCATAAAATCGTAGCTATTAACCCATATTTTAATAGTATATTAAATTTAAGTTCTTAATTCTATAAGGCAATATTTCAAAAAATCCTGAATTTCCCCTAGTGTGACACATTTTCTCTATTTATCCACTGCTCCTTAAATAAGTACGAAATTACTCAATATAAAATTGTCATTCCTCAAACAAACCATAATTTTTAAAGCCTTCAATTTTGTTTGGTTACAGAGCTATAAAACAAAAAATCAGACCCACTCCTATCACATCCTTTCTTTCAGGACATGTTAATAGTTCTCTTTACATATAATTCTACATTTATAACCAACAGAAAACCAAGATTTCATCTATAAGATGATACATTGTATAATATCGTGTTTTGAACAGATAATCACTAATTTCACTTGTAGTACAGCTTTCGTTCCTATGGGAAAGCTAACAACAAGCTTAGATGAATTTGTAATGGCTCTTGTCACATAGTTAGAAAGACAGAAAAATTTTAAGATTTGTCTACTTTTTTACATGTCATTAGTCTATGTTCTTTGGTGTATTATTTAATTCAATAAAAATTATTTAGTACATTACTACCATTAGTATAAAAAAGTAGGGTTAAGTGTCATCGACAATCAACAGCAAGTAAAAAAGAAGACTGGATAAGTTATTTATTTCTTGTTTATTCATTATTTATTATTATTATTATTATAAAAGTAACTAAAATGTAAAAATTGGGATATTTTTAGGATAGTTAAGATTAGATTAGATAAAATAAATAATAATATAATAAAAATGTTTCATGAGCCACACACAGTATCTTATAGTAGCTCATCAGTAGTGTAATTTGATAGTGTAGCATGAGCTGTTCGTTCCCCAGTGATTTACAACTTATAATGGTGCAAATAATAGTTATACACAGTTCAAAGGGCAATCAAACAATAAAATGTAATTGTAAATAGATGTATACTGTTACCAGCTTAAAGCTACTTAGGATAAACAACTGTAGTTTGATGTTACAATTTGAAGTTATTTTAGAAAGAAAAAAAAAGGGCAATTTAGATTTACTTTGATTTTATTCTTAGTGGTTACAAGGTCAGTCAAATTGACTGTGTAGAGATAGAGTAGAAAAAAAAACAGATAAAATATAAAGTTTGACTGAAAGAAAAACATTTGAAATGTATTTAGGTTTTAGGGATTACATGAAAGAAATTTTAGATTTTTGAGATGAAGAAAAGTATTTTTTATCTTAACATGAAAATTACTTTGCACACGGACTATTCAAAACAAATACTCAATATATTCATGGACAAATCTTTATTTTAATTTATTAAAAATATGAAAGACTGCCAAATTTTGGGAAGATATACACACAATATTGAAAATTAGAAGTATTAAATCTATAAAGACTTTAAACAAGTACAAAAATGTCATGTGGTCGGTCAACTTGACCAAGTCCAAGTTGAGAGAGTTAAATAATAAAGTTATTAATTTCTGAAAAAAAAACAAAAAATGTGGTGATTATGCTATTATAAATTAGAAATATAACAGTGTAAAAAAATTGTAAATTTATACTTTATTTAATACTTAAGTAGCCAGAGAGTTAGTGGTGGATATTACCTAGTTGCCTTCCCTTTAACCCTTTCGAGATGGGTCACAGGTGAAAGGCCATGTCATCTCGTTTCTTAACTCACATTCAAAATTTTATTGAACTAATATTTCATGAATTTATGTCAATAAGTTTGGTATCAAACTGTAGATTATAATTCAAATTTTAGAACAATACATTACTCAATTTGTTAATTTAAAAGTAAATATTAAATAAACATAGATAAACATCAAAAATATTTTTTTAAGCCTGACCTAACAAAGACAGGAATAGTAAATTTAGGGACAATAGGAATCATTATCAAATGTTCAAATCACAAAGCATCCCCCACCCTCTTTGTAGGTTTGTGGTTAACAACAAACACAATGGCAATATATCAAATATCTGTATGTTCAAAATCATCAAAAACCCTAATTTTCATGACAGTCAATTCAATTGTAATTTCAATTAGTTGATTACTTTTGAGACAATTTAATCATAATTTTAATTAATCAAGTGTTGAAATAATCAAAAACAGTAATAATCAGAACAAATAATTTCAATTATTAGATCATTTTCCAGACAATCCATGTAATGGTAATTTCAATTAATCAATTGTTGGAATAATAGAAAACAGTAACAGCAGAAAACATTAATTTGAATTAGTTGTTTATTTTCATCACATTAGTCAATTAGTTTATGGGACACTAATCACAAATGTAATCACAGATAATATTGATTTAAAGTGTCCAGCTATACTCTAAACTTATCCATTTTGTTCCTAATATTCCTTGCGTTACAATAATAACTGTGCTTATATTTTAATCTGTGTTCATCTTTAAGTTTGACACACTTATCTTTAAAACTACTATTCATGTTCTAACATATTTCCAATCTCCTCTTTTTCTATCTGTTATCAGTTTATTCCCAATTTCCCAAGCTTTCTCACCAAACTACTTGAGAGATTCCATTTAAAGAATACCTTCAGAGCTTTCCCAAATATCCTACTACATAGCTTGCTTAAGTGGAACTTATCCCTAGCATATACTTTTCACCCTTGCCCTGAAAACTATCCCACAAGTTTAGTCAGCCCACTTATTGCTCTGAGTATAAACATATCTCAATAATTTCTCATTTAAGCCTCGGATCCTGCCAAGTAATCATTCTTGCATCTAACCCAAGGATGCATTACTGACAGGACCACACATTCATTTCTATCCTTAAGTTTAACTCTTCAGAAATTAGGGATAGACTTTTCAACCAGTTTCTCTAAGTTACAACTTGAAGTACTTCTAACTTTAACCTAATTAGGGATAGAAATAAATTGCTTCGACTTTTCAACCAGTTTCTCTAAGTTACAACTTGAAGTACTTCTAACTTTAACCTAATTAGGGATAGAAATAAATTACTTAGACTTTTCAACCAGTTTCTCTAAGTTACAACTTGAAGTACTTCTAACTTTAACCTAATCATTAATGGTAATAGGAAAAACCCCATCATAGCATGTACTTATTTTTAACTGCAAGTCTTAATACAAAATATTAAGAACTAATTACATAAAAATTAAAGGATAGTGTATACAGTTGGACAGACAATTTCAAGTAAGCTCACATGAACTTCAGATAATGTTAATGGGAAAAATGCGAAATAATACATTAAGTTTAACAAATTTAATTTTCCTCACGAACATAACAATAGAACGTTCGTTTAAACTTTAAACACTCAATAGGTTCGTTCTTTCGTTTCTATGCCCAGTAGCAGTGCTAACCTAAATGCGCGCTAGGGCCAATATTTTATATAATCATAAATCATTCCAAGACAATGAACACAATTTCTAGGCCTAATAATACTGACTAGCTAAACAACTGTGGTTTAACTTTTTTCTCGTTAGAACCAAATATTATTTTTATTGTGTAACAATCTTAGGAGAAAAAGAAAATTTGTAAATCACCTTGTTACTCAGCTTCACCCTCTAATAGCTACTGAATAAGTTTTAACCTTATTGCTAAACTTAAGCCTAGTTCTTTACTTGAGCTTGAAGTTGCAAATTTAGGCGCTCCGTCTGGCAAAGAAAAACTGTTCAACCAAATGCAGTTAGTCGAGTTTTCCTTAACAACAGTCTTTATCTAATAAAAACCAATAAAAGCTTTAAACGTTTATCAGCTAATATGTTCTAATAAAGTCTATAATTTCACTAAACCTCAATACAAACTTATGATTTTAATCCGTTTATGCACGGGGTATACAAAGTCAGTTACCAAGGGTATAGGCCTAATCAGTGGTATAATATTACGTCGCCACCTGCAATAATGTAATAGGTTTGAGTGGAATTAATAGAGAGAATCAGATTCAAGATATGGTATTTTAAGAATCTATCTATTACACCCTGAGTAAATTAGATGAATGACTTTTTATTCTTTTTCACAAAAATTTTAACAAGTTTGAATTATACACTAAATCTTTTTCGTCCTTGGTTTGTCTTTATTTCAGTTGCTGTTAATATCATTAAATAATGGTGAACATTATAAAGATCCTTCATATCACAATAGTTAGCGTATTACAATCGAGCAATATCGTTTGTTTGTTTTTTTTATTTTTGTGGTTGTTTCTGTTTTAAAACCACTCTTTGAAAATTAGAACTAACTGTTAATGCACGAAACACATTTTTGTTTTATAGGTTGTTTTATCCTGCCTCCTGCCCCCCAGTGGCACAGGTTTCTATACCCGTGGTAGGCAGAGCACAGATAGCCCATTGGGTAGCTTTGTGCATAACTACAAAACAACAACAATATCCTGCCTCCAGCCTCCAGTGGCACAGGTTTCTATACCCGTGGTAGGCAGAGCACAGATAGCCCATTGGGTAGCTTTGTGCATAACTACAAAACAACAACAATATCCTGCCTCCAGTGGTTCAGCGGTCAGTATATAGGTTTATAATGCTAAAACTAGGTTTCGATACCATTGGTGGGCACGGCATAGATAACCATTTGTGTAGTTTGTTTTCAATTACAAACATACAAATGTTATTTGCTATTTTTTCTCGATATGAAATGCCTCCTAGTGTTTTGTCAGTAAGTCTGAAGGCTTATAACGATAAAAACAAGAACATTTATGGTACCTGTGGTGAACACACTACACAAAGTTCATTGTCTAGCTTTGCACTTAATAACAAACAAACCGACATGAAATGTACTTTTTACACAATACATTTATTCTTTTTCTTGTCTCTATTATTTATGCATGTTAAAAAAATTTAGCTCCATAATTTTGATAAGCAATTAACACACTCAAGTGCACGTACAACTTTAAATTGGTGACTGAAATTCACTTTATTAACATCGCATCGCAAAACATTTGTAGAAAATCAACGTTTTCAAAGATTTTTATTGACAAATAAATAGTCAAAGTTTGAAGATGAATTTATCTCTCATTTTTACTAGCCTATTTTAGGTATCATTTGAAATGATCTAGAGCTATTCAAAGAGTGTGGTTGCCAACATGCTTGTAGTGAAAATACATAGCTGATATAGTTTGCAATAAAGATAACTTGTTTTATTTCTTTAACCATAACAACTCTGTACAGGGGAAAGGGTGAAAGCTATGCACCCCCCCCATCTCCATCCTCAGCTGAGATATTACTTTTTAGAGACAGGCTGTGATAAAAAATTAATTTCGATCTGTGTCACTTGCTTCAGTTGGAAAATGTTTTAATTCACTTATTTTTCTCTAGTACTATATAATACACAAAACAAAATTAAAAATTCCAACTACACAGTGATCATGAGATGAGTGATGCTGAAGCTAATATAAAGTAGTGTGTGTGTGTGTGTGTGTTATAGTGATCGGGAGAGGAGTGGATCGTGTTACTGTTAATCAAAGGTAGTTGAGTATTTCACAAACTATAGCATGTCTAATAAACATAAATAACAACTTGAGTTTGTTCAGCATGATAGCTTACTATATTTTAAGAAGATCTGGTTATTAGCGTAAGCCGTTCTCTTGATATGTTTATTTGTTTGTTTTTAACCCTAAAGTCATGAGTCGATTGCATAGAAATTGCAATGTTAGGGTGGTAAATTTGAACATAAGAAAGTTCGCTAGTCAATATCTCATGTAAAACTTTGCAAGTTTAGAGTTCAATCTTTTGCTTCGAAAAATGCTATGAATCTCCTAAAGGTTGTTTTGGTGTTGATGAAAAGTTTTCCTAAAGCAAAGCCATTTTTTTGTTCAGAACCATTCCATTTGACCTTGATTTGCACTGTGTGCACTTCGTCAAAACAACAGTATTTCTTGTGACTTTAAACAACCTCACTTTCTGATTGCTTTAATTTCAATAGGAATCCAGGTCATAGTGCATTTATCCTTAGTGTTTGCATTTCATGCAAACATCAAACCTTTCAACCATATATTTGTAACTGAGACTAAAGTAAACATGACTTTCGGACATTCTAAACACCGAAAATGGGTCTTCTATAAGGAAATTGCTTTACAAAAGGCAATGAACTTTCACCAAAATCTTGACAAAATGAGAACTAATTTTTAAATGAAGATTTCTCTATAAAAGGTGAATCGATTAGCATAAAATTTGCATTGTTCGATTATTAAATTATAATATAAATGTAGTTTTAGTCCTTTTTATCTTTTGCCAGATACTGTGATGATCAAAACAACCACTAATTTGTTAATGAGTTAGTCAATATCCTCCATAAGTTACACCTTTTCCATTATCCAATAAAAGTATCTTTCTTGCGAAAAGCAAATGTGTGTATATTGCAGTCATTTTATAAAGTGATAATTATAATCATTTCAAAGTCACAAATTTCAGAACATTAAGCTATAATAACTATTTATGTTATATGGTGATAATTAAATACAGCTTTAACTTCCATTTTTAACACTTCGAAGCCCATCCCTCGTTGGCTCAGTGGTGAGTTTGAAGGCTTATAACTCTAAAAATTAAGTATAGCCCATTTGTGTAGCTTTGTGATGAACTACAAAAGATAGTGCCACATAGATAAATACTTTGTCACCTCATATGCCCCTTCCCAATACTTGTATCAAAGAACCCAGAATTAAAGTTAGATTGTATAAACTAAACATAGACTTATTACCGAACATTCTTCAAATTACTCTAAGTGTGGACACACTATTAGACGTTCGGACGTCATTAGAAAAACGGTCCATGCTTTATAAGCCCGTGTGAAAACTATTTGTACAGTAGTATTTTTTGTTTTGTGCGTTATTTAACGTTGTGTTGTAATTAAACTTTGTGATTTGAACTTTTCAGTTAAGAAATATGTCGCATAAATCAATTCTTCAGTTTGTTTCAAAGAAACCTATCATACAGCTAGTAATTAGTGGTGCTGATGCTGAGTCTCTGGCTCAAACTGATGTTAAGCAACCGAGTCTTGGAACTTGTGATGTTGATTGGTCAACCCTTGCTGCTGTAACTTCCTCACCCTCTTCATCAACTTCGGTTAAATACCAGAAGAAATGGGAAGAGATATATGAATGGCTGTTTTTTTATGCATCCCTTGAAGGGGCGTTTTGTAAGTACTGCCGAGAACTTTTGCAAAAATGATATTAGATGCACTACATAGAACAGGTGGTGTTTTCATAACAACTTCGTTTACCAACTTTCGGAAAGCAACTGGAAAGCTTGACAAACATTTTAAATCCTAGAAACATGCTTATGCTCAAGCAATAGTTAAGCTTCGTGAAAAGACCGGTTCATACTTTACTTGTTCAACAGTTGACTCATGAATTTAGTCGGAACAAGGAAGCAAAGATTGCGTTTGTAAGAAGCGTCTAATTCTATTTCATTCTCATCTTCTTATGCAACAAGGCGACTCTCTGAAGCAATGGGTGGAAAATCAGAGCGACCGTTCGACATATGTAAGCAAAGCTACAGCTTGCGATCTGCTGACCTGTATTGTCGAAGTTCTAGATGATTATAACGCCTCGGAATTAAATAACAATTATTACTCTATAATGGCTGGCGAATCGTCAGTTATCAACAGTGTGAGCCAGTTGTCAATTTTGACAGAGAGCTCATTAAAATAAACCTGGATTACAAGAAATTAATTTTTTACGTTTTTGTTGGTGCCGCCAATTTTTCAGGAAAACTAATTGGTGTGCATTGCAACTTTTAGAAAAAACAAGAAGAGAAATTCCGAATGTACATTGTAGGGCCCATCTTTTATCTCCAGCGCTAGAAATAAAATCGCGTCTGTGAAAAAAGTTCTTCATGTCATCAAAAACATATATTCACTATTCCACAAGACACCAAAGCGTTAACACGTGTTGCACGAGCTTTAAAGGTCATTGGAAGAATCTGAACTAAAAATTCCAGAATCAATCGAAGTGTGCTGGTTCAGAAATTACAGATCTGTTCAAGTCCTCTTAACTTGTTACTGCTCAATTATGATGGTCTGTGCAAAGTTGGTGCAGATCTAGCATCGTTAGCAGAAGGTATCTTGTTGGAAATGTAGAAATTTAGTTTTATTATTACCCTAGCAGTTTTGGATGAGGCTTTATGCAGCATCTAATATCAGCAAAGTTTTACAAAAACAAAACCTCAACCTTTCGTCAGTTTCTTAGCTTGTGGTGTTGATGATATCACATTTGAGATATAGACTCTCACTGTGCCCATTTAAGTAAAGAAAGCTCTATTGCTATAGCTGTCGTAAATCTCAAAACGAAGGCTTCTGATGTGCGGCCGATTCTTAAAAATGAGCCAGAAAGTCAAATCTTCAAAAACGTTAAACAGTTTGTTGACATTATGACTGAACAAATGCAGCACCGATTCAATGATCAAGCGATCTCCTTCATCAACATATAACCTTCCTTTTAAATGGTCTAGTCAATGTGCAGTTTGACTTATAATGATGTGAAGAGAGGATGTAGCTTCTTTGATGGACTGGATGCTGATGCCGTGTGAGCTGACTTGAGCTCCTTCAAGTACTTTGCAAGGGAGCAAGAAGATCAAGATAAAAATGTTGTGCATTACTTGTGGAAAGCAACTAATGGTTACGACAATCTTAAAAAAATTAACTAAATGCCTGATGGTGGTGACGGTTTCGACTGCTGGAGTTGAACGTTCTTTCAGCGACATGAACTGTATTTCAAATAAGCTGAGAAACCGTACATTTACACAAAAAAAACCTAAACAGTACATATAGTTTCACACTATAGAAATAGCTAAACAACATTATTAGCCCATTGTGTAGCATTGCGCTTAACTACAAACAAACAAACAATC